AAACGTTTCTATTGTTGAGTCTCAGCCTAGACATGGATAAGTTCAGCAACCTACAACCATATAAATCATGTCAAATCTCCTTATTTCCATCGATATGAGTCCTCCTCCTCTTCTTCCCTTTATTTTCTAAACTTAGATACCATGCCACAAGATCTTGTAACACCATTCTTTATTTTTTTAATTTGGAAAGGGTCTCTAAACCTATCAAAGCATCCAACCAGTCCTGGGTGCATGACTCAAGCCGCTAGCTATTCATGGACATACACCATACCACTAGCCAGTCACCAAGCATACCCCAACCGTAGTCTGTATCCGTAGCCTCAAGGGGAAGACTCAAACTCAGAACCTCCAGCTTTTGGAAGTGAATTCCTGGCCATCTTGTCTATCCCTCGTAAAGCATCCCAATATTTCCTTCAACATGAATCGAAAATTCCACAAAATGCCAAATTTCATAACTCTACACACAACCTTCAAACCTCTTCTTTCATTGCCAATCATTTCCAACTAATTAACCCACTCCCCTACACTTGGCCTTGGTTTAACCCCAAAAACAACAAAAAAAACTTGTTCAAAAATACAGCACATTTCTTGCAAAATTTATGCAACCCAACAACTTCTGAAATCAAGTCTTTTCAATACACCTACCCAATCACCTTTCGTCTTCCATAAATCCCTACCTGTGGAAAGTTTCCAAACCCCCATCAACCACTAAATAAATCGAAGACTTCATCACTTATAATTTTCCAAAGATGTCAAACATCAATCACCCATACTTTCTTCGCATCACTAGTTTTTTAATTCAGCCACTGTATATTCATGTCAATTAAAAATCTAAGGCACCAAATATAACGTCCCATGGAAATGGCAGAAAACTAAAAGTAATACAAGCGAGGATTCTGAGAGGTTGGACTAGGTATAGACCTAATTTTCAGCATTATACACACAAAGATTCTCAGATTTAAGTCACAACCTTGTGGCTGTTAGTGCAAGCCTGTCACCACTGCACTAGAATCCCACTTCAACAGCAAGATGAGAAATTCAAAACTTTAACAACGTCGACATATTATAAATAAGCAATTAAGCATCGTAAAGACAACTTAAGTAACAAAGAGCATAATGAAGTATCACACTTCGACAAAAATGAATCATAACAAAACTTCACTAGAAAACAATTGTTCTAAAGACCATACTTACCACAATCACTTGTGTCATTATGTGAATATGATATGTTACAAGTTAAAGATACACTGGATTGCATAACAGAAAAGTGGCACTCAAACAAAGCAGAACTTCCGGTGTACAACGTTTTGGAAGAATTAAAATGGCTACCAGCAATCTACTTATATAATCCTTATGAAACTCACCTAGAGGAGTCAGTCCGCCCATAAATGTGTTCCATTATCCCCACTTCTAAATGAAGCATTGAAACGATAGTCCGAGCTTCTCCTTCCCTTAACTTAGAACCCCAATAACCCACTACCTCTTCCACAGAGCCAAAGTTACCTAAAGTTTCATTCATAAATACTTGCAATAGATCAAATAAAGAAGAAGAACGCTCATCCAACAATCTCTGTTGAAGGAGTAAGATCCTAGCCAGCCACCATGAAATGCTATTAACTCCATCCATAGACTGGATACTTCCTTCTAACAACAGATCTTTAGTCCTCATTAGCAATATCTTTGCAAAAATTATATACTGCAAACGAAAATATACCAAAAATCAAGCATTAAAGAATAAAAGATTTATGGTAAAAAAAGAAAAGAACCTAATTTATCAATGAATGGCACTTAAACAAATAATAGTCCATGTCTTTGAGACAGACTAAACATGAGTAGAACTTATTCACTGGCTTAGTAATGCATTGTATATTTTTATTTTTAACATTTTTTGTGGTGGTGATTGTGGAGGACTTTTCCAGGATATTTTCTAGATTTTACACAAAAGAAAACAATTATTCCTCGAGAATGGCACAATAAATCTTCCACAGAAAACATCCATTTCCACAGACACAACAAAAATATTTGTTCTAGTCAACTTTTTTCTTACTTTGGCAGCACCTCGATCGTGTTTGCATTTGTACAAACTATAATATGAGATGAGAGAGAGAGAGAGAGAGAGAGAGAGAGAGAGAGAGACGTAATAGAATAGGCACACAAGAGCTATACATAGGTACACAAGTGGTATAGTGTATACGTATAATGACCCTATTACCCCTCATTCACTAACACTCCCCCTCAAGCTAGACCAAAGATACCGAACAGTCCTAGCTTAGACCAAAGAGCACCACTTTTATCTCTAATGAGCAACTTGGACAAAACATTTGCCAGTTGATCTGCAGCAGTCCGTAGAAAAAATGTAGTGAACTCCTTCGATTACAATTTTTCACGAACAAAATGACAATCAACCTCAATATGTTTAGGTCATTCATGGACAACTAGATTTGAAGCACTATGAAGTGAAGCTTGATTATCACAAAACAATTGCATTGGAAAGGTAACTGAAATACCAATCGCATGCAAGAAATGTAAAATACCTGATGGGGAACTAGCCCAATCTACATCAATAAACTCAAGCACCCAAAAATATCCATGAACTTTATATTTTTCAGTCTTTTTCAAATATTTCAAGATTCTAATCAGTGCCCCCAATGACATACTCTTGGAGATTCCATAAGCTGATCCACAACATTAACCCTAAAAGAGATATCTAGTATTGTAATAGTCTTCGAGTAATTCAATTTACCCACCAATTGTCCATACCTTTCTGGATATAGTCAAATTTGTACTAGATTCCATAAGAGTATCAACTAGTTTTGTACTTGTAAGCCCAATTTCAACAAGGAGATCTAGTACATACTTGCGATGAGATAAAATGATCACTCTTAAATCTAGTAATCTCAATTCAAAGAAAGTAGCGTAACTTCCCTAGATCTTTAGTATGAAACTTTCCCGGCAAAAATGCTTTGGGACTAATAATACCTTTGATAACAATATTGTCCACGTAGACAACTGAAACATCATACCAGATTCAAAATTCCTACTAAACACAAAGTGATCTACTTGACATCTTTGAATTCCAAATTCTAGCATTGCTTCACTTATTTGTCATACCAAACTCAAGGTGATTGTGTTAGATCATATATCGCCTTCTATAATATACACACCTCACCACTAGACTCCCTCTAAGGAACAAACCCTGGTGGTTGCTCTATATAAACTTTTTCATTCAACTCACCATGTAGAAAGCATTTTTAACATCTAATTGAAATAATGGTCATTAGTAATTTCTTGCTAGAGAGATAATAAACCCAACCGATGAAATTAAAAAAATTTCGGCATAATTCACAACATAGGTCTGAGCAAAACCCTTGGCAACTAATCTAGTTTTTAATCCCTCAATGGAACCATTAGACATATCCTTGGCAGCGTAGACCCATCGAAAACCAACAATAATATGAGATTCAGAGCACATGAGAGAGAGAGAGCACAACGTAATATAATAGGTAGGGAGATTACTTTCCCATAAATCACAAGAGATATATAAAGGTACATAGGTGGTATAGGGTATACAAAGACCCACCATGGTATGCACCAATAAGACCACCAAAAGCCTTTGTGGCAATAGTGATTCACAGAAGTCATGGGTTATTGGTCTGATGCTTCAAGCAAAACCAATTCCCTGAGTGTGACGAGTGATGTGTACAGGCCTGGGTACATATTCACCGCAGCATACATTGTGCATTTGATCAAGTTCTTTCGAGATTGAAGACTAAATCCATGTTGGGTCGATGTTCTTTGAAGCTACATCATTGAATCAAACTGGTTAGGTATGGTAAGTGGCCATATTGCGCTTATACTAGTTAATTAGGTTGAAATGCAAAACTGACAGAGACTTTGAGATCCGTAGCATAACTCATGTTTTCATAACCTAGAAAAATGTTTTTGAAACACATTTGGAGTCACGGCATGGGGCCCAAATTGGCAAGACCCCTTGGTGCTCAAAAAGGTCTTGAAATTTGGTTTTAAGTTCGTCAAACTAATGACTAACGCTCTCCAAAGTCATTTCAGTGCAGTTAGTAAAAGTTGGTGAAGAGTTGAAGCATTGAAGAAACAACGCTCAAGAGCACTAACTAAACACTAGAGTGATCAAGCTTGATCAGGGTCTAGATTTCTTCAACAATAGTCAGGGTTCACTTCATAGCTCGCTAAGGGCTCAAGTATTCAGTCACAATTTTGTAGATTTTGCTTTCAAAATGGACTGGACTCCTTCCGCTGTAAAAAAGAAAGGCTTAAGAAATATAATACTTGAGAGAGCAAAACTCTACCCTTCCAAGAACTTGAATCAAACCTACTAGTGAATTTAGGTATACAATTTGAGAGATAAAATATTTCTAGATTATATGTTCCTTATGTAATCACCTTCGTGTTTTAATTTCTTTCTTGCGCACTTAACCATCCCCTGGAGCGCTCGGCCCCTTGGCGATCTTTTCTCTTTCATTAAGGAGACTTATCAACGGTGGTAATGGTAGTTCGCAAAGCAGATTGTTCCCCTTTATCTTGAATGACAAGTGTCACTACCCTCCTGGTCCACACCATCATAAATAGATTGATAGCTATGGAGGATTCTGATAATGGAGTTCAAGCAAGGCGATTCTTTGGATGGTGGAGAATCAAAAGTGAATTGATTAGCAAATTGTGGAGTTCAATTCGTGGTGAATTGTTAAGAGATTCAAAGTTTTTTTTGGATTTTGAACCAAGTCGAAGAAAAGCAGAAAAAAAAAAATAGTCTATGTATTCGGAGGTGTTGTAAGTATTTTGAGTGTTATACAAGGTCAGGCCATATCTAGTGGATTTATGCTAAACTACGTCCCATAGTTTTGCTCGTTCTGGGTTTTCACGTAAAAATTTTTGTGTCTGTTTTTGAGTGACTACTTTTATCCTTAAAAGCAATGCTTGATTGCCTACACCACGACATTGATTATTTTAATCCCATATGCATTTATGGTTGAATAGATCTTATTGTCTTACTTGATAAATAATTTGCGATCTCTCTATTCGCAAGGGCAAGACTGCATACACTTAACTCTTCTCAATGGCAGGAAGCTTGTGTCCTAGACATAGCTACTAGTATCGTACGATACGTCACGACACACCTGAAACGATACATATCGTGTCTCTTTATCGTTTTTATACCGTATCGTACGATACACGATACGATACATATCATCCGATACGTGAAGATTTTTTTTATTTTTTAGGGATGAAATGACATCATTTCACTCTAACACTTATTTTTAAATCACTAGCCAAATGAAACAACGTTGTTTCAATGGTTATGGTTTAAAAATATATAAAAATAAAGTCTGTTGTTAATATTGTTCAATTGCATTCAAAATTTCTGCTTAATAATAAGGTTGTTAAAGCAGGTGATATTAAAAGTTTGAATTAGAGGTCTTTGCATTTTAATATTACTGAACTATGTTGGGAACTTAAACATTTGGTGGAATATTAATGAAATGCTACATTATTATGAATCTATGACTTTTTTACAAAGGAGTGTGTGTGTGTGTGTGTATATATATATATTATTAATAATTATTTAAAATTACGTATATCTTACAATACACGATACGATACACTATTTTTGAAAAACGATATGTTTTCAGATACGCGATTTGACAACTATAGTCTCAAGTACTCTTTTTTTTAAATTCATTTTAAAAAAAAACTACACCCTCCCCACTAGGACCTATGAGGGTTTTAATGAACATCGATTATCGAACTTTCAATTGGTATAGGACCAACTAATTAGGATACTTAGATTAGGGACACTTAAGACTTCGAGAGTGATTCATGTATCAGTGTCTTCACATATTGTAATCCTTCATTTTTTTTTCCTTTAAACTATCTTAATTTATAAGTATTAATAATTGTTGTATTGTCTTTACACGTACCATGTTTCTTTCCTTCATACTATAATATCAAACACTTTGTGATAAAAAAAGAGAGAAAAATACGACATTGATATTGATCTACACTTGACTCACACTTGTCATATTCACATCACGTTCGTATCAAAACCTGATTTTAGATCCACTAGAACATGTAGATCTACTAGACTACAAACAAAGAAGTTGATAACAACAAAACAACCTCTAAACCACTAGAAATAGTAACTTACAATAATCAGCCTACCTACGCTACATTGTAGAGACTAGAGAGAGGTTCGACTCCATATGTCCGCTAAACAATTCTGAAGTAGCAAGACGAGTGAATAAAGGTGGTGTAAGCGGTAGTGAATACTCGTTCCATGGAGACAAACCCTCTAGTGGAAATGTTCCCTCACTGTAGACTGAACTCCTTGTGAACCTTTTCGATTATTAGTAACGGCTCGTGAAGTAGCCCTCTTTCTTAAGCATATATGTTATATTGCTTTATACATGTTTGCTCCTGGTGCTTTTTATCATTTATCTTATACTTGTGATGTTGATTTATATTTCTATGATTTTTATGCGTTTCACGAGTTGTTTTGTTTGAGTGATGTGTAGGACCATTGACAAAGACAATACTTCATTAAGGATTATTGTTTTATATTCTAGGAAGTCAAGTTGCATTACTTTATTTTGTGACTATGTACTTGAGTTAGAAGAAAAAGAGCCATAATTCAAGTTTTGTTCATTGGTTTATGGAGTTATATTTTCTTTTTTAAATACTCAAAGAATGTTTTGTCACGAAATCTCTCCAAAGGGAGAGATTGTTAGATTCTTAGCATGTTGACATAATTCCTTGAGTCACATGTGCTTTACTTCAAACCTATGAGTCAAAAGTCTATTGGGTCTAGCACTTTCAAGATAGGAAACTGAAGCCAAGTTGAGAAGACATTTTTTTAAGCTACATTGTGGAATCCAATTGGTTAGGTATGCTAAGCTGACCTAGATACCTGGTGAGCTTAGATTAAGTTTGCTAAACCGTGACTGACACTCTCCACAATGCGTGAAT